AATCGCAACTGACGCAGAAAACGAAAAAAAAATGCACCAGAAGAAACTTCGGGTAAAAAATTTGCCTTTCTCAAAGTCCAATCTATTTTAAAAATGAATACGCGGATTAGCGAATTGTTGAAATTCTCCCAAGCTATAGCGAATCAAGAAACTAATTTTGAAATGAGAAAGCGTACATGAAGCATGGACAAATATCTCATATTTTGATGTTCAAGTAACAATAGTTTCAACTTCTTGCGTATACAAAAAGACAACTAGCAGATGTCGACGTATGCTCTTTTTTTTTGCCCGAAGGGTATTCCGGCAGTATTCCGATCCCAGCTTTTTTTGGTCAACATTTAATCGACAAGTGTTGCCACGCCTGAATTTCTGCCCCATAGTACTACGATGCCGTTCACTGCTGTTACAAACTTACTGTTGCCTTGTTTGTTACAAGACTGTTTGAAGTAATAACGTCGGGATCGAAACAACTCACAAATAACATGTGCTCAAACCCGACGGATGTACCGTGGTAACCGGGCCACTTTATCTCCACGACTACTTGACACAGCACTGCAAGGTTTCTTTCTTCCAAATGGTATTAAAAGACCAGGTTCAGAAAGCACCAAAGAGCCAAATCAGACCTTTCAGGTTAAGACAGCTGAAGTTATGACATTCGTTTGCTACGAAATGTCGGACAGGAAATGGGTGGAGTTGCAATATCGCTTGGATACCCTCTAGGCACCGAGAACATAAGTTGAGACGCATTGTGTGTACACGAGGACTTGAACATTTCTGGACGTAAACACTGCAGTTCCTGACCTATACATGTTTGTAACCACAAGGTTTCAGAGGTACATTGCATCTTAGCATCAAATAACCACTTTGTAAACAGTGAGAAGTTTGATCAATTGCATGGCCACCCCCCAGGTAGTTCCATATGCGTGATCAAAATTTTGCCCGCTTTTCTAAACGTCGACTGAACAGGAGGGAGCTGAGGACAGTAACAATGTACTACAGCAAAACTTTCCAACCAATATACTTGTTAAGCACCAAAAACTTGGCGCGAGAAACATTTTCATTTTGAGATAACACTTCTTTACTCACGGTAACATTAAGGTGGAGTAAATTATCTTCTGTAGTATTATTCAAAATCTGTTGTATCTCCGTCTATGAAATTAACAGAACAAAAACCCTTCAAGATTACTTAAAAAGCGACACCCAACGCCACCTTTCCAACGATACTTTCAAAGGAATATTTGAGCGATAGTTCCACACAAGTTGTTCTTCAAATCGATTACCTATCAACATTATGGGCCTAGAGACAATCATAAGGGATTAAGGCTCACATGGCAACATAATAATAAAACAAATAAAAGACAAAAGTTAAGACAATCCTGTTTAGAAATGTATGCACGGCTCAAGCAAAAAAAGTCGTTAATGTGCTGGAAGAATAATGGTGCAAACACTGCCATTATAATCATATCTGATTGCACCTCAAAGCTCAAATTAGATATGCTAGATACACAGACAGCTGGAAAAGCACCTACAAACATGCGATTATAAGACGTTTCAAACGTAGCAGTTAAGAACGACAGCACATTAATTATTTGTGCAACCCAAAGGATAAAATAAAGTAAAATATAATTAGATTGGAGTAAAACAAAAAGTAATAATGAAGTAAAAATTGAAAAAGCAATTTTAAAAAATAAAACTTGGCGGCAAAATTTTTTCACCGGAAATTCTGAACTAAACACAACCTGTCATTGAATGAAACTTTAATGCTGCGAAGAGTACTAAGTTTTGACGAATGCAGGAGTGCCAGATATATACATAATAATATAAAATCATTTATAAAAATCCCGTAGAATCATTTACATTATGACATTCAAAAGCTCAAACTGATATCCATTCAAAATAACACTTCACAGTACAGCTCACCAAAGAGAACTGATTTAAGACGTGAGACTAAATTACTAGTTCCGCAATAAACAAGTAGGCTAACCCTAAGTAATCCTCAGCTTATAAAATGGTTTTATAAAAAAGTAGAAAAGAAATTTCTAAAATAAAGTCAGCAGTCCTTTTAGAGTCACCATTCTCAAACACTCATATAAGGAAGTGTCTAAAATAAAATAAAAGACTGAAAATGAGAAAAAACAGCGAAAAGCGATATCCTAAAATTTCAACCCTTTCTGGTAAAACCCGTCAATAACGACTGCTATAAAAAAAATTTATCAGAAATTTTAGAAAAGAACTCATAAACTTCACAAGGTATTCTAAAAAAAAAAAAAAAAAAA